AAAAAAATTCGTTTATGTTTGAAAGTTTTTATAACGAAGTGACGTAACTACAAAAAGTACAAGGAATTGCTGGTGTTCAGTAGTTAGTGGGAGTTAGTGTGCAGTGTGGCTATTTAGTTTCTGCTTATGCAGGTATCACGCTACATAAATACTGGTTTAATTAGCCAGTATTAAATACTTCAACAATGATTAAAATTATAGCCAGTCTGGCCACAACTCTTCAAGGTATTCACTCGAGAAACGTTGTTCACTTGGACATTTATTTTCTTAACGTTTGTATTCTCGAAACACCTGAAGGTCTATAGACCTCCCTTATAGATTTTGGTCTCGCGGAAGAACTCAGGGAAATTGTTTTGCTTGAAATGCCGAAAACGCTGAAATCCTCCCATCCAGAAATGCCACCGGAAAAGAAATAATTTTTTGTAACCAACGATACCCTTGATGTCTGTTCTTTAGCTAAGATGCTTTTCTTGCTGCATTTCAAACATTCCCTGCCGGGGGAAATTTTTGAATGGATTGAGAATCAATTGACAAAAAATCCCTTGGAAAGAATGGGCATTGGTGAACTTGTAAAGATTTTGGAAAAATTACAAGATAATGGGCCGTCCCCATCACCATTAGTCCTTGATGGTAGGACGGACCTAACTCACCAGCCCAGCATCAAGAGCCCTCAGTGCGAAGGAGAAAACATGTGTCAGGACTCCCCAAAGAAAGACAGTAAAAGAAAGAGAGAAGACGAGAGTGAGGATACCACGACGAAAAATAGTAAAAGGCAAAGAGAAGAAGATAACAGTGAAGGAGACTTGGAAAAAGATGGGATGAACCTGACTCACAAGTCCAGCACCGAAAATCCTGAAAGTCAGAGAGACATATGTGAGGATCACCCGAAGAAAAACAATAAAAGAACAAGAGAATAAGACAAAAGTGATGATACCAGAACTAAAAACAAAAGATGAAGTAAGAAAAGCGAGTGACAAGTGAGAACGAGTGATGAGTGAGAACAACGAGTGATGAGTGAGAACAACGAGTGATGAGTGAGAACAACGAGTGACGAGTGAGAACAACGAGTGACGAGTGAGAACAACGAGTGATGAGTGAGAACAGCCTATATTTAGCATGTAGATTACCTGGAGTCTACCTGGAGGGCATTCCGTGGATCAACGCCCCCGCGGCCCAG